GTAGTACTTGTTTTATTTTAGTTCGAGTAAGTTTGATTTTTTGAAATAGATAGACAATGTTTCAGTTCCGGACGTTTTACACTTAAAATTGTCTCTTTTGTGTCTAGCGAGTCAAGTTGCTTGATATGAAGTGACTAATTTTATGTTTATTTTCTAGAATTTACGATTGTATCTGTGGTAACTGGATGTTGTTTTGTATTCTTTCTTGATATTAATATAAAAGCCTTTTGTTTACTTTCAAAAAAACTACAAAGAAGTCTGATGGATAGTGTACCCGGGGGGTAGCTTATCCGAGGGGTTATTGCGGAGAATAACTAGAGAGAAGTCAGAGCAAGTAAGTGAAGAGAGAATATATTAGAAAGTATGCAGCGTGTGTATTGTGACTTGGTTACAAATGGGGAAATGGGGTGCTATTTATAGTAGCAATAAATGCCGGACATGGACACGTGTCAAGCGTCCATTGGCCGAGAGGTCACCTCAATTGGTTGGCGCTGGCAACCGCATGTGGCCGCATTTAATGCGGCTGTTGGATGGGACGTTGTACAGGGTACGGTGATCCACACGCATGTGGAGCGGATATTATGTCGGAAAGGTGCCCTCGGCTGTAGATGACTAGCCGAGGGCTCTGAGTACCGGGGACCCCCTTAGTGCCGAGGGCTCCAAATACCGAGGGCTACTGATTTTCGCTGTTTTCTCCCAGTAACTTTGTTTTCCTGTTTTGACCTTCCTGTGAGAATCAGACCCTTCGGCCAGGGGGCCGAAGGCACCCCTGGTGCGCATTGTGGGCTGCTTGGTGCCTTGGGCGCCGTGATTTGGGCCTGTTGTGCTTCCTGGGCCTATTGGACCTTTATTGGAGTAGTAGAAGTCTGTGGGCCGGGAATTCTCGGGCCATATACTCCACCAAAGTCCCTTAAAAAAACTATAAAGACGTCAACAAACAAATGAGAGAAGCATGTCAACAACACGGAGTAACTCAAAGCCTATTGTTTAAAAACTAGAAGAGTAGGGACCTTCACACTGCCCAAAACGTGAGTAACTATAAAAGAAAACTTTTCACCATCGGCATCAGGGCGGATCCTAACATTTTTTGGGCCCGAGTCGAATTTTTGTAAAAGGGCATTTGAATAATGTAAAATTTGGATACTAAGATTTGTAAGTAGTAATTTAATTAATATGCCTACATCATATAATTAATCCCACATAGTTGCATGATATTATTTTGATTATTATTTTTTGTATTGTTGTTATTTTAATAAAATAGAAAAAATTATATATATATATAATACTAGAATACAATTATTTATGGGCCGTTATTATTTACCAATTTTTTTGAGCCTGCGGCGATTGCCTCTTTGCCTCAAGGAAGGGTTCGGCCCTGAGCGGCATATGCTAAATGACAAGGGTACCAATGGCTTCGCCGACTCGAGATAGACAGAAACCGAGAGTCAAAGAAAATACTAAGTATAAATCGAGTAAGAAATTTGGCAAAGTATCAAGTAGTAAGGTTGAGAGTAGAAAATGTGATCCTTTTTCACAAGCTAGTTGGAAGTTTATATTTATAGAGTAAAAGGAAAACCTAAAATAACCAAATCACCGAGCTAGTGACAGTGTAAAAATATGATAATTAGTGAGAGAATAATCAATACAATTGATGTATTGGTACTATTATTCCGACTTTTGTCTTTTATGTATTGGAATGCGTAGATAAACCACACATGTAAGTTTGAAATCTTCTTTGTATAACTGTCTAGGTGACATAATCCCTATTACAACTGTCACGTGGTGATGTAATCTTGAATTTTTGTGGGATCCAAATGTTGAAACACCTAAGTCTACAATCTCCATCTGATCATGAGGTCTTGTGCTCGGCTGTAGAGCTCAAGCTCGGGTGCTGCATGCTTAGCTAAGAGGGAGGCAACATCGACTCATAACATGAAGAAATGATGTTGTTGTTGATCTTTTAACCTCGTAGTACGGTGGTTGGGCTGGTGCTCGATGGAAGTGCTGGAATAGCTGCCAACATCAGCGAGGGTCGACCTCGACCTCAACTGTAGTTTTGGATTTATCTCGTTGATCTAAGAATCGATTTTGAACTCAATTCCGATGAGCTTGACCTCAGTAGTCAAAGTTGAATTAGTGGATTCTGGAGATCCTTTTTCATAAACGTTGATACCATCGTGGTGTATTACAATATACTCCACCGGTACAATAAAATTTAATCTATCAGTCGGTTGCAAACGCTGCTATCCGTAACGTTTTTCATTTCTGCCTTTTGCAAAATACTTCGTATGATTTATTCGGTTCAGTTCAGTTTTCAACCGAAACCAAAACCGAAACAAAAATACGTTTGTGTTCGGTATTTTAAATTTGATTTCAATTTTCTTGTTATCGATTCTGTTTTTGGTTTCGCGGGCGGACAGCCATGCTGATGAGAAGATCTTATATACTCTTGTAGATTATTCCGTACATAATAATAAGCCAACAAGCCTGATTAGGTGACGGAAGAGCCTGAGTGTACTTTTATATTAATTCATTCATTATTAAGTCATTAAAACAATGAATGCAAGGCGTGCATTCATTCATTATTAATGACTACTTATGTACACAGCACTCACGGGTTGACATAAACATACATATACTACCGTGTTCAATAAAATAAAATAAAATAAAATAAAATAAATAAATTAAATCTTACGACTTGGTGCACGTTTAATTGGGAGGATATATCTTACTTTTACTTTTATCATTTTTAAAATCACCCAAGTGACCCAACATCAATTTATATGATTGCGGTTACAAAATTGGTTGGTAACGACAAAGTGTAACCTATTTGGCTGAGATGCGTTAGACTGAGGGGTGTATTGTATTAGGAATTAGTGACAAAATTTTAAAAGTTCATGGATTTTAAAAGTTTAGGTGTATTCAATGTGGATTTTTAAAAGTCTACAAAAGTCTAGGTGTATTCAATGTAAACTTTTAAAAGTCTATAAAAGTCTAGACATATTCAAAGTTTCGTTCATTTTTATGGATTTCTAAAATCATGGATTCTCGTGAACTTTTAACTCATTTTTAGTACATTAATTCTCTTCGATTGTCTCTTCTCCTCATTAAAGATTTCCGTGGACTTTTCTTATATCGGTTCTTCATCCCGTCCCCCCACCCCGCCAACTCTCCTCTTCTTTAGCCAAGTCAGTCCTTCCCCTTCGATCTTTCTTCTTCTTCAGCTTAGCTCGCTCCACTCCTCTCCTTCTATTCTTTTTCTTCTTCAGCTTGCCCCACCCCTCGATTCGTTAATCCCATACTGGTTCAATTCTAGAAGTTTCTAGAAGAACTGGTATAAGAATCGATAATATTACATCAGTGCAATTCTGGTACGTCGTCACTTAACCATTACGAAAATAAATGTTTTAACTATTACTTTCTTTCATCGTTAAATCGCTAACACATAAAAATATAAATTCAAATTAATAAATATATAACCGTAAATAAGTACACAAAATTTTACAAGATAGAAATGAAAAGAAAACAATTATTAAGAAGATTGCAACTGTGCTTGTACCACATGTAGCAATGAGTGTAACAGTTGTGTAACGATTAATGTTCTTACTCATCAATAAAATGACTAAAATTCTTGAGCATTCTTGAAACTTTAAGTTTTTTAATAAAAATAAATTTGGATTCTTATGCTTCATTTATTCTTGTAGAACTTTGTGTTGCTATATGAATTACATTTGTTTCATTTATTTATTTATTTATTTATTTGTTTGTTTATTTGTTTCTTATCATACTCTGTATTATACAGAGGAAATTATTCAGGGTAGGACTAAAACATACGGAGTATCATTCTTCTTAAAGTATGATCATATTTGATTTTCCTTAAATAGGACTAAATATTACATATTCACCCCTAATTTAATTAATTAATATAAGTAATTGTCCATAATTCTCTTGCATAACCAAATCGACTTTGTTGGTGGCGGATCAGTCCGATGACGACAGCGGGGAACTCAAGTGACGGAGTTTTTGATAATTAATATCGGAAAATTGCACCAAGCATAGATGATCGATCTCCTTTATAACCATTAAGAAAAATAATTATATTTGTATGATAAAATATAATAAAGGTTATTTATACAAGTTTGACATGTACTCTTTCCGATTCCTATTAAAGTTCCTAGATTAAGAAAATAAATTTGACTTTATTGTGGAGTGCAATGTTTGACACTGTTTGGACACTGTTTGACACTATTTGGCACTGTTTTGCACTATTTTGTTTCCTACAATGGAAGTGTGAACTTAAAATAAGGGACATCCCAAAAAGGAAAGTGAGAACTTTAATAGGATCGAAAGGAGTATAATAATTGCAACCCTATACTTTTTTATTATTACATTAAATAGTTCTTGTGTGGATGTCATTTTATCTTGTGTACGGAATAGACAATTTGGAGTAGCCAATTTAAGGTTACAAAATTAATGTTTACTCCTATTGAAGGAAGTTTTAAGTTTTACTAATATTATATTTGTAAAGAATTTTATTTTTAGAATTAACTATGTTTGAAAACATTAACCTTAAATTGGTTAGGAAGTTTGTATTGACGTATTATATTTTTAGAATTAACTAGAAAACATTCTAAGATTTGAATGTTATTATTTTGTAAAGAATTTCTAATTCCAATTAAATGTAAACAAACACCACAATTCTAATAGTGAGTACTTCTCTAATCTGTCTATGGAGTATGAAATAAAAAAACAGCCGATAATATGTCAATTTCATTCCTAAACAACAGCATCAACACTGAAAACAGTGTTCTTTCGTTAAGGGCTCCTTTTCCATTGTTCAATGCTTAAAACATGTTTTAATTAAAATGATGAGAAATTCTCAAAAAAAAGATGAGAATTATAGTGCAAAAACACACTCCTTATTTTGTTTCTACTTCGAAATCTAAAAACAAAAAACGGAAAAAATTACCAAACAATGGGGAAGTTAGTGCGGCGTCTTCCCAAAGAACAAAACCCCAAAACCGCCCTCCCTATATGGGCCTCTGTACGAATTCTCACTGCCCCCAAATCTCACCCCCTCTCTCAACACGGGCATACACTCTCTCAGGCCACCACCACTTCGCGGATTTTTTTTCAGTTTATCTTTTCTATAACACTTCTTTCACGATTACCAGGAAGAACTCCAACAAGAGTCTCGAGAAAAGAATTCAGAGAAAAAACTATAATATAGAGTGGGAAACAACTCAACAAGTGGGACTCCTGAAGGACCCGAACAACGGGGTGGGTTCCCGATGAGTGTTCGGATTTATCGCAATTTCTGCTGGTTTTAGGTATGCAGAGACGAAGGGGGATTCTGGGTAAGTTTCTTTCTGTGTAGAATTACAATGTGAGATGCGGATTTCTGAGGATAGTCTATGTATGTGTTTGTGATTTTCGTGATGATGGTAGTGGCTGCGTATTCAGGTGCAGCTTCAGCTCAAACCCCCAAACCCGGGTCACAAGACGATCCCCAAATCAACCCGAGAAGACCGCCGCTTTTGCCATCCGAGAAGGACAACAATGGAGTTAACAGTATCAACCCTAAGAGACCCAAAGCTAGAGTCGTCTCCTCCAGATACATGTCTCCTTCTTCTTCAAATTCCTCTTCCAACTCATCATCTATATCTTCCTCATCCTCTAAGACTTCCACTTCCAGAAGATTCCAATCTCCCTTGCTCTCAAGAAACTCGACGGTTTCGACCCCGCGGCCCAGCGCGCCATCTCCCGGACCCAAAAGGTCTGTTTCGGTTGACAGGAGACGACCTTCTGTGTCGAGGCCTCTAACGCCTGATCTTGATCTGAAGGCACACAACGGGAGTGAGATTTCGGCGGCTACTAAGCTTCTTGTAACTTCTACCAGAAGTTTGTCAGTTTCCTTCCAAGGTGAAGCGTTTTCTTTGCCGATTAGTAAGACCAAGGTGGCCCCACCTTCCCCTAACTATAGCAGTATTAGGAAGACCACCCCCGAGAGGAGGAGAACCATCACCCCTGTGAGAGGGAAGCCTGAGGGAGGAGGAGATCAGGTCGAAAGTTCTAAGCAAATTGATCAGCAGAGATGGCCTGCCAGGTCTCGCCAACCAAATCCATTGTCAAGGAGTTTAAACTGCGGTGATTCAGAGAGGAGCAAGATCATCGGATCTGGTATTCAGGCACTCCGGCAGTCCATGATTGATGAAAGCTCAGTTAGCAATGACCCGTCATTTCCTTCTGATTCTGATAGTGTATCTTCCGGAAGTACTTCAGGAATGCAAGAGACAGGGGGAAGTTCCCGAGGACCGCCACGTGGTATTGCTGTCTCGGCTAGGTTTTGGCAAGAAACAAACAATAGGTTAAGGAGGGTGCAGGATCCGGGTTCACCTTTATCCACAAGCCCCACCGCATCAAAGCTAATTGTGCCGCCCAAACTGAGAACTGTCTCGTCATCTCCTATCCGTGGGAGTGGTGGCATGAGACCGGCTTCTCCAAGTAAGATGGGGTCATCTCCCTCACGGGGACGAATGATTAGCCCTAGCCGTGTGAGGAATGTTGTTAGTACCATTAGTAATAGTTTTGTAGAGACGCCTTCCGTTCTTAGTTTTGCTGTGGATGTCCGGAGGGGGAAGGTGGGTGAAAACCGGATGGTCGATGCACATTTATTACGTCTTCTTTATAACCGCTACTTGCAATGGCGCTTTGTGAATGCTAGGACAGAAGCAGTGTTGCGTGCACAGACGCATAGTGCAGAGGTATGATCTGATGCACTTAGATGCTTATGCCATTACATCATTACTTTAGGGTCTTCTGGTAATCTGTAAACTTTTCAGTAAGATGACAAGATCCTCATTGAAAAGACTTGAGCTTGTTTAGGAATATAAACATGGTTAAACATTAGCATGCCAGCATTCACTTGTATTTATTGACTTATACTACGAATAATGTTTGGTGTTTTAGTTCATTACATTTTTGCCCGGAATTAAATGATACTACATTTTTTTGGAAAGTAAGCAATATATTGATGTAAGTAAGTATGACCCTTTTATTGATGGGATTGAGTTTAACAAGAAAATGAATTTTAAGGAAAACAATTGATAGTATTCAAAGAATCATGATAGATATAAAAGTAAACTAATAACTACCTTCATTTGCATTTATCCTTTATGAAACAAAATATATCAATTTCATAGGCATCTCGTATATCATACGTATTGCTTTCCGTGACTTCCCTAATTTCATAATTTGGGATTCATTATTGTATGAGAATTCTAAGATGGACCTGAATACAAAAAGACAGCCTTGCTGATTGAAATTTTTAAGAACTACTTCGTATATGATTAAAATTTCTGTGATTAAATTTGAACGAAGTAATTAAATCTATATGAAATGCACATACTCCCTCTGGCCCAAACTTATTTGCGAAGTCAACTTCTCGTGGTCAATATAATTTCACTTTATTTACTTATTTAACATATCAATTTTATTATATTATAATAAACATAGTATAATAGTTTTTGTGAATGCTAAGATAGACCTGCATATCATTGTAGTTCCCTAATATGTAAATGTAATTATTAATACTGCACTAATTATCCACAGGAGGATTTAACTTTATGGTCATTCAATCTTAAAAACCGGAGATTGCAATTCAATCCGGGACGGAGGAAGTAGTAGTTTTTAATACTCTTGATCTTTGTATCCCGTGTTAGTGAAGTGTACTTGATTAAATATCTGTGTGATTTGCAACTCAAAGGAACAGTTGAATACTCATCAAGGAAATAAGTGTATTTGAAATCTTTGGTCCTAAAAAGCAACATAGTGGAAATAATCCACTGTTTTTATTGATGCACATTATTAAAGAATTACAAGTCAAAGTATCTATGAGACTGTGTTGGAGAAGGTTCTTTCTCCTTCATTGTCTAACAGTTTGTGATCATTGCTAAACAACTAATTAAGAGGTAGTGTTACAAATTACAGAATATCTAAAGTTGTTAATAATAGACCTGTTTAATTGAATAAAAGGTCCATCGACAAACAAAATCAAGTCTTTTTTTATGATGAAAAAAACAATTAAAAGCCCATGAACAAATGAAAATTGCAAGTTGATGGTGAAAAAATAAGCAAATTCTCAGTTCTCACACTCCATAAGTCTGTGTTGATGGTTGTACTGCATAAAGAAGTGATCATGGTAAACAGACAAGTACTATGTAACTGAGAGATTGCTTTTGAAATGCAAATTTGAATAGTCAATTAACATGAGGAGTTATCTTTTAAACGAATAAAACTAATATGAATCGCTACAAATCTGGATGTTTGTTCAGCATCTTGTGACTAAAAATATTTTATCTTTTTGTATGGCGTAATAATTGACATTTCTCTCTTCTAACTGCTTCTGCTTAATATAGTGCACCAGAACTGCTAGTATAAGTCAATATGCCCTAGAAAGAAAAAATGAAGAAAATTTGTGAATTTCATTGTTGTACTTTATTTGCAGAAAAATCTTTGGAATGCGTGGATAAGAATATCAGATTTGCGTGATATAGTCACCAAAAAAAGACACAGGTTGCAATTGCTGAAGCAAAAATTGAAGCTGGCGTCTATACTGAAGGGACAAGTGAGTTCTTTTTCCTTGTTTCATTTCAGTTGTTGTTTCCCCCCAGAGTCTAAAAACGTTATAAATTTCATGCTTGTTGCTGACTTGTGTTAATAATCTCTTTAGATAGCTTATTTAGAAGTTTGGGCTTCTTTGGATAAAGACCATTCTGTTGCTTTATTGGGGGGCATGGAAGCTTTGAAGGCTAGCACTTTGCGTCTTCCCGTTCTTGATGGAGCAATTGTACACACTTGATTCCCCCTTTTTGTATCTACAATTTCTGCAAATATGCTGAGTATTTTAGCTCTGTACTGTGATGTCATTAATCCACTTATTTTTCTCAAATTTACAGGCTGACATTCAAAGCTTGAAAGAAGCGGTTGGTTCTGCTGTTGATGTGATGCATGCAATGGTATCCTCCATTCCTTTGCTTTTGGCAAAGGTAATATCAATTTGTCATTGTATATGGTTTCTTAAATTGGCACTTTCGTATTCTCTATATGGACACTAAGGGAGTAAGGGTTCATTTTGAACAAGAAAAGTGCTAAAGAAAGTGAGGATAGTGGAGGAAAATTAGAAGGAAGAATATTCGAAGGGGAACACATTATTTATTCTAACACAATATATCTATTTTGAGTTAACACTCATGTTTGGAGAGATGCCATTTGAAGGATAATGGTCTTATATATCTATTTTATTTTCTAGATAATCGTTTCAACTCATTTTATTGAGTTTCTTTTTACTATAGAGACAAAGGAGTACACACTCATGTTTGTATGTGCATCTAGTTTTAATTTAATTAGTCATATTTGGTCGTCCTTTGTATATTCAAAGATAACACAAAACATAATAAAATGATTTTATTTATAATGTTTTTCCTTTCCTCTGACATTTTCAGCATTACAAACCTACCTAAAGGAATAAGTAATGTTGGACGTGTTGTAGACTGCCTTTTGGATTTTGGGTGGGTGGGGCATTTATCCCCGTCATTGTTTTGCTAGGGAGTAAATGGAGGGAGTGATTCTTGGATCAATATTCTCTCCATCCTTCCATGATTTTCAAATGGCATTTCTCCAAATTGGAGATGGCGTTAGGAGTGGAGATGACAACCCCCTTAAATTCACAATCTGGTCTAGATTTAATTACTTTCACTTGTAATATTAAAGCAGAGATTATCATTGTCATTTATAATTCCCTTCATCTGCTTTCTAAGCTTATAGAGTCCAAGACAGAATATGATCATTTCTCTCTCATTTACTGACTTCCCATCCCCACAATCTATAACGCAATTTAAGTGATCATAAATGGGTAGCCTGAAACGTTAGCCAGAAAGGGTATGTTTCATCGTGCATATTTTGGGCGTATTACTTTACTAACTACTCAGATGTTCTCTGGGACACGTGGAGAAAATTAATTTATTCTTCTCACAGATTTACTTAAATGTTAACTTCTCGATTTCTGTGAATGTTGAGTACTAATTTTTTTAATCATTTTTTCTTATTTTGTCACTCCAAGCTAATTTAGATTTAACGAGGAGCTTTATCACCCTTTTTTCAGGTAGAGGAAGTGAATATCTTAGCAACGGAACTTGCAAAAATGACTGCAAAGGAGCGTGCATTACTAGAACAATGCAAAGATTTCTTGTCTATGATAGCTACATTGCAGGTGATAAAATCACTGCCATGCCTCATTTTTTATTTATATATAAATGTTGAATTATGCTTCGTCCATGACAATTTTCATTATCATTGAAACCTATCTTCACAGGTGAAGGACTGTAGTTTGAAAACACACATATTACAACATTGCCGTGTATCAACAAGACCTGTGTAGAACTGATCTTTTATTTTGACCCCAACTCTAAAATTCTAACAACGGTTTGGCCCGGTGGAGGTGACACATCTCAGAGTTGTGTAGGAAAGCACACAAATTCCATGACTCTAATTTTGGCTTCAGTTTTGGAACACAGTCTGTCTCCCCCTTGCTGCATGAATATTCCACAAGTGATTTTCCTTCTCGCTAATATCTGTATACGTACTCTAACGTATTTCCGGTTACTGCCATCAACTGTCTAGCAAAAAGGCAAAAAAATGTTGTGTATATATCTGTAAAAGCTCTAAATTTTTAGAATGTTGCTGATTGAACGTATTCTTTTGGCATCCATCAATTTGTTAACTGGCGCCTGGCGGTTATGGTTAGAATGGTTTTAAACGTGTGTTCTTTGTGTTGCACTATGATTGTGAATTCATTGAGGGTTTGTAAATTTCACTATTATTTTCTCAAAATATGGCAAGGACCAGCACTGGAACCGGATTTTATGGACTGGAACTGGTTCTCAGAACAAACAATTCTTTTTGGTTTAGAATAAGCTTGTGATTTACGTAGTATAATATTTCTCGCTTTGTCATTGTCTAAAGTTGATAAGGTCAAATTGTGTTGTTAATAACTTAAAATTTTGTGATTCACATTTGTTTAGAGAAAGAAAGAACAATCACAATTCACAAAGCTTTTCTTCAAAGGAAAGAGATGATACTTGAGAAAAGATATAGGTTACTGTAATAATTATGTTATTCTAATTTGTTAATTTAGATTGCTCAAAAAAGTGAAAAACACGTTTACATAGTATAGATATTTAGATGTGCCATCAGTAGTCTAAGAGCACCCTAGTTATGAAAGAACCTCTGAAGTTTACGTGGATACACAAATTTAAAATGATAATTCCTCTGCCCCTGAAAACGTTGTTAACTTTTTTTGATACCCATTAATTTTGTCGCTTTCCATTTTAAGTATAAAATTTATGGTTCTAGTTAATTCTCTCCTTTTCACAAATCTCAATCACACAGTTTTTACTTTGTTAAGTCTCATGCCGGTCAAACTTGGCAAAGTTTTAAGAGACGAAGGGAGTATTTCATCTGCAACGCAAATGTGAGCTTTCATGTATTCTCTGCTTAAAAACTCTTCTTCCTGCCACTAAATATAGCCATTAAAAGATTAAAAAGCATCCAATATTCCAATTAGAACAAGAAGGGAAAAAATTACAAGCCAAGCTAATTAGAGAAAAATGAAATCGAAATAAATAACTTGAGAAAGGTCTATCAAAAACTACCTCTGACAAATTCTTGTTTCAAAGTTATACATGGACCGTTCTAAAAAAATGTAATACATGGACTGAAATAGATGTCAATTGTCACTATAGTCAGTATTTTGTTCATATCGTGTTCCCCTTTTCATATAATTTATCCATCTAATTTTGCATTAGATTGTATTTTGGAATAACTCATATATAAGAAAATTAAGAAGAGAGAGTCAAAAAAAATCTTGAATGCTTCAAGTTTGAAGATGTGAAGAGAATCTTTGGCCTCCAAGTTTGAGGAAGATTTGAGAAGTTTGTTCGGCAAGGGTGAAAAGATTCAGAAAGGTACTTTCTAGTGTACCCCAAAGAATTAGATGAAATATATATTGTCGAATCATTTTGTTTAACAGGCTTGCTGAAATGAAAAAGAGCACAACAGGAACTATATAGTTATAGATTGTTTACTGGGTGAAAATTTATTTACTTTAATATCTATTTTGTGTATATGGCAATGCATTCTTCAGCAATCCATATTATTGTTAAAGATGCTCAAGTGCATAGTATAGTGTGTGGATGGCCTATATCTTTGTCAAATGAGTTATTCAACGGATTGTCTTAGTTTTTGTGATAACAAAGCCTGTTTTCTAAACCAGTATTTAAATGAATAATAATTTGAAGGTCAAAAAGTTACAAATAATAAAGCAAGATGATATCCCAGCACTTATATGCCGATGCCCATTTATATATTGTTTTACATCATTCCGAATCTGCATGTCAATCCTAGATGGTTTTCCCCACCGACTTAGGTGGTTTGCCTACCGGCCTATCGGGTCCAAAAAAATCCTACCCAAAGCTCAAGCGAATGATATAATGGCAGGGGTAGGGAAAATGTTAAATGAAACAATAGGATAATCTCAACTGCAATGAAGACATGTTTGATATTGTTTTATCGTTCCCTTGAATCTTTATTAACTCCCTTCAATCTTACCACATTCATGAATCATTTCATAACTACAAAAGTTGGCTATTCCAAGATGCTGAACATTAAAGTTTAATAACTTTTGGCCACGAACTACAACGATATTTCTTGAAAGTTATATTCAGTTCCTTACATATTAGCTAGTGGTTAAACTCAAACTACACCTAGAAAAGGTCAATCAAGGGGTATAGAAGCGACAGTTCATCTATGATTATCCTCTACATTTCTTTCATGTGAACTTCAGAGACAAGAAAAGCAAAAAATAGTGAAACATCAAATGATATTAGGCATCCGGTTAATATAGACGGTACAATTGGAAAAGGTTGGTGTTAGAACTGCACTTGACATCCTTGGACTTGCTAATACCCACCAAAATAGACCAACTACTAGTGTTGATAGGGCTAAGAAAGTGAATGCTTTGTCTTCCTTGAAGAGGTGAAGGATTTTGCTTCTTCCATGTTGGTGGTACACCCCAGACTTTCAGACGAATCTGAACCACTGTTCTCCCCACTACCACCATGTCCGCCTTTAAAAGACCAGATCTTGGAGAAGACCCTTTTTGAAACTACCAAACCTTTCATTTTACCCATGGTGGCCGCCTTGTCAGCGTTCTCCAGTTTCAAAGCTGCCAGTTCACTCCTCAAAGCCCTGAGCTCCTCGGCCGAACCCGCAGCATCCCAGTCTTCTTCTGTGGTTGTTGCAGAACGAGAGCTGCCATAAGATGCAGAGGTGACTGGTTTGGTGGGGTGGAGGAGTTCAGGAGTGGTGCTTCCAGAAGAAGAAGTATTATGAGCGGCCCTGACTTGCTCAAAAAATAGGACCTGGACAACCACACGTGAAGGGAGTCTCTCATTTTGAATTGCGTGCATGCAAGCATCTGCAGAGAGCTTCTTGCAGTCCATTAACCTACATATTCTCTTCTTCTCACTCTTGTTAATCCCTGGATGTTGCTACACACAAAAAGAACACCAAATAGTGTTATTGGTAATTGGTCTGAAACGATTAGAGTATATACAGTTCGGTACTTTGGTTATAACACCTTCATCCTTCCCCAAAATTTGGTAAAGTTACCATCCCTGAGGTTTCTAAAATTACAAACACGCCCTTCGGCAATTCAAATGATATCAAAAGAAACCATCCCTGATCAAGCCTTAAAAGCCTAGGTGGGTGTAAGCGAGTTAGGCATACGTGAAAAGGCGATTTAACACTTGATTCATTGGTTTAGTTTTTCTAGAGTTGCTTGTAGATGTCTTAATGTAATATTAAGAAAACATCACTCAAAACATCATGTTTTTTTTTATTTATAAAAAAATTATACTTCAAGACTTGTAAAAACCACACATACTATACGAAGTTACTAAACAAAATTAGAGTTCACAAAATAGTTCAAAGTATAATACTACAAACAAATAATACTAGTATAATTATAATAATATTAATAATAGTATTAATAATAGATATACAAATACTAATTAATAATAGCAACCATAATATTATAGTAAAACTAATTAGTCATTAATGTGTAGTTTAATATTTGCACGGAATAACGCAATAATATTTTTGTAATACAAATATAGTTCAACAGCCAATATATGCAAGATGGAAGTCATACGGACCATCTTCATCCGCACCTGGGTTTGAATCTCATCGCTTTCTAATTTTATGCTTAAAATTCTTTTTATTCTTCTCTTTACTTTTGTCACAATTTCTTTTTCCAAAAGAAAAACTTGGACAATTTGAACCCACAAGATGCAACAAAAAATGATAAAAAAAAAATTAGTCCTAAATATATTCCTGATATACCGTTATATTCTACTTACTCATTCACCAAAAACAAATGACTTCTAAAAGGCTATATTTGTATTTGCGTGAACTCTAGTGACCGTTTTGAAATTTGGTAATATCTTAAGGGAGGTAAATATAACTCACTTTATAAAGTGTGACTACGGGTCAAAAGCATTGTGGTCTGGGTTTGGTCTTGGTAAAATTGGAAACTGGACAAAACCCGTGAGTAGGATGGTCCGGGTTACAGTTCTAAGGATTGCTGGTTACGGTCCTTGCTGTGTCCACCCCTAAGTTTAAGTAAATAGAGAGTCTTAACAAACAATCACCTTAAGGTACATGTCAATAGCTCGATATAGTCCATCATGAGCAGGTCGGGGAAAACCAGCCACCATCTCTGCTACTCCAACAAATGTTGATGATGACAGATTGGGATCTTTCGCGATCTCAGCAAGGTAACCGTCTACTAACTTTGCCACCATCAGCTTTGAAGCTTCATTCAATACCCCCACTGGCTTCTTGACATCCTGAATCTCATCGCAGACCTCTGATTTGGTCCCACAATCCTCCTCATTGGACATCATGAACTCTCTTAGTATTTTCTGGACTACATCGACATTGTACATAGGGGATGCAGTTTCCCCATCTGAGGTTCGAATCAGAAGATCATTAACAGAAGCCTCCTCCAGTTGGCGACTTATTCTTTTTATTAGTTCCTTCTTCTCCATTTCTCCGGACTCAAGCGAAATGTACGCTTTTAACAGCTTAAACAAGAAACTGGTTGAGATGCTGCCTTTCTCTGCGGGTAAAAGCAACAAAATTGCATCCAATACAGATCGATATTTGGAAGCATCAATTTCAGAACCATTTTCATGATACCCTTGCAGCCTTTTTGACGCATAAGTTTTTAGAGCTTCTCCAATGACTTCATTAGAAACTAGTCCTTTTTTCTTGATATTGACAACAACCTGTTTATATAAATCAACTTCAAGCTCCGACAGATCCTCCACCCACCAATCCTTTGGCACTATTCGGCTTCTCAAGCCAATTTCCTCTGATACCTTAGACCGGTTATAGGTGTAGGACCAGTCAACCTTCGACACATCAGCAGATGCCTTGGAAGCTATAGAGTCAATGCAATGGCCGACCAGCTTCAGCTCCTCACACAAAGGAAAAAGAGGAGACTTCATGCTCTGAAGAGAGAGTATGGAATCTTTCCAACTCCTGAAAATGCTGGAGTGGAGGAAAACATCAATCTTGTAAATAAGGTTTCCTTTTTCGGTGTTCTCATTCATTCCTAAATACTCGGAAGCACAACGGGCTGCAATCACATTGTAAGCATTCAGTGTAACGGTGACACCATAACAGAACTTGGCGCATATTTCAAATGCCGCAGGCCCTCCAGGGATGTCTTCAATGTGGATTTCACTGCTTCCTTCAATAGACTTTGCGATGAATTTTTGCAAACGGGAACTCTTGGAAAGAAGAGGGAACTGCAGAAGAGA